GGCTTCTAGCAGAACCAGTTAGCAGAAACAGGACAAATGCTGGGGATCTAGGATTCTGATAACCTGGCAGTGAGAAACTGGCTTTCGATATCCTAGCTGGCAGAAATTCAGCATGTAGAAAACGAAGGTAGCTCAAAACACGGTGCTATAAATGGATGCATAGGAGTGAAATGAACAGAGTATTTTTCTCTAGTTTGCTGTATACTTTTGGGTGTATGTATGACTCCAGGATTGAAGGTGTATTCTGCAAGTCTTTGCAATTTGCTACTATCTTCATGGGTTGATGAGATATGTGACCTGTTTTCCCCGTATAGGATGCTTCCCCCCCCCCATCAAGATTCCTGGAATTACTATATTAATTATAATAGTACATTGAACATTGAAATCATTCATTTAACAAAGCTTCACTGAACTTCAGATATTTTGAAAGATGCTGAGAATAAAAGATATGTCTTATTCTTGAAAAGTTTACATGTGAGGGGAGAAAGACATCTGAAGAAAATGAAGAGTGAATAGTGAGAGCTGTGGGGTTACATACAGGGTGCTGTGGCAGTAGAGAAATTAGAGTGACAAATTATACGAGTGTTTCATCAGGCCAGATGATTTGTACCAACCCACTCTTCATTCACCTCCACAGCATACACCTGGAGCTGAGATAGGCAAAATGAAGAAGTCTTCAGAGCTTGTTTTGGCTTATGTCAAAACTCTAATTATTTGTTCAAGTCAAATGGAGAAATGAGATAACTCTAGTGGAAGTTCAAGACAACATTCCATTTTGGCATCAAACTTAGCATGCAATTTGCCATTGCAATTAATGTACTTTCTGATATATTTGCTCTAGAATTTTAGGTCTATGCATGTTTATTGTAAACATTCTTAGCTCAGTGAAAGCAGTACTCCTCTCATTAACCCTTTATTGAGAAAAGATCATTTCTTTTGGTTTTTAGAAAGCAAGAGATTAGAACTAGAAAAGATTTTCCTTTCCTTATTTTACAAAGATGGTATGGTTTTATTTTTAGAATCAATCTACTTTTGAGACATTGAGGTTGTAAATGGGGCAACGTTTCTCTTTCACTCTTTTTGTGGTGCTAGGTACTGTATTTTCTGTGCTACTGCTTCAAAAACATGTTACTTTTATTATTTGCAAAACGTGTCAGTTTAATATTTTGGGAAAATGTTGTAATTGGGAGAGAAATGGCCAGTCCACTCTTTCACAATTGTGGATGTGAACTGTGGTCATTTGACAAGAGGAGAAACCTCACAGCATTAATAAAGTTCAGAAAATGATAGCATGTGCAAAAGCCTCAGTTATCTCTTTAAAATCTATTTCTTATTTGTTTTTAATGTATAATAATCGGGCCACTGTCTAATCTAGCCCCACATTTCTCAGCAGCTGGGGAGCTGGCTTTGGTAGTCGCAGCCCTGCAGGAGTTGGCTAGGAGCCAGGCCACAAGAAAAGGCAGCGTGGAAGTCGGGTGAGGAGAATTAGTTAAGCTTTTAATTAACTCACCCTTTCCTGTTGGAGGGATGTGTAGAGACTCAAGTCTTCAGTTTTACTTCCTACACTCAAACAAGGCCACATACTGACATATGCAATAAAACAGTTTACTAAGCTTTATGTACGAGAGCACAGAGGTACAGTAAGGGTCTAAATGGAGACTCAGGAGACCTAGGAGCCTGAACGCATTTGTATAGAGATGGAGAGATCTGAGGACCCTCAAGGAGCTGGGTGCTCTACTTCAGAGCTGATGACCTAAGTGTGTATAATATAGGTAATTTGATCTCTATTTTTTGTCTGGGGGGTTTAGCAGACATTATGTATGATATAAAAAAAAATGACAGAAGTCGACTTCCCAGGTTTTATTTTTCAAACACAAAGGATGAGAGTTTTAATTGGACTTTTGTAATTTGGTTTTAAAAAGTCCGTTCCCATATTATCGAAAAGTAAACAACCTTCTTCCTCCTTTCTTCACTTCTTCTCCCTCCCCATACATCCTATTCCTCATGTTAAATCTCTTTAAAACTCTTTCTCTTCTCCTTAGCATAGATTTTTATTTGAAACTTATTTCACCTGACAGTGGTTATTTAAATTTCAAGCATATACCTACACTTTAATGCCTAAAAATTGTCTGTGAAAATGTTACAGTGATTCTTTTTGTTTTTAATACTAACATTTTGATTTCATAGTCAAGCTTAAAGGCTTAGTATATGTAATAAGCACACTGGTAAACTGAAAAGTTTCAAATTCATCCTGTGAGAAGGACCCAAGGGAAAGAGAGCTCGCAAGCAGTAACAAAAGATGTTGGATTTATTGTGCTCTATATTTTGAAGCACAGTAGGTAAGACTTTGTAAAAAGACTTCCATCGAATAATAAAATGTTACGGCCAAAAGAAGTTTGAGAGATGATTTTGTCCAAACTTCTCATATTATAGGAACAAAGAGATGAAGAGAATTATCTGAGGTCACATAGCAAGTCTGCAGTATAGTTGGTACCAGACTTTAGGTACAAGGAAACTTTATGATGTGTCTTTTCAATATTAGGGTAACATAAAATCACAATAAATGATGACAGATATTAGCCACTGTATTTGAGCCTCCATCAGACTTAGTTTCAAAGCAGTTTTTCTTTTGCTGACTGAGGCTGAACTCGGAGACCATGGTAGGGAGCTAGTCTATTCTGTCACAGCAGCATAACTAGGACAGGGTGGCTGCTGCGTGTGCCTGGGCCTCTGAAGCTGTCACTTCCCTATTGCCCCATTCTGATTTATTGACTTCTTGCCTAGAAGATAATTCTTAATGACCTTCCTCATCCTCCTGAGTAGAACTTGAAGAGTGATGTGAATCACAATGCCAAGGGTTACACTGTGGTTGGGAAGGAGAAGGACATGTGTGGGCTGGGAGCGGGGTAGGCAAGGTCTGAGCACGGGCCCAGGAAGGCATAGGAAGGTCTGGGATGTGTAGCGCTGGGGAGGTAGCTGCTAGGCCTCGCCTTAATAATAAAAAAAAGACCCCACTGTTTCAGTTCTGTTCTACACAATTTAAATTCATCCTTAAAGAAATAGCTGCCTAATGATAGTTTTTTTTTCTAGATAGCACAGATTTTAGAAGATTAGGGAAGCGAGTATTCCTTCCTCTTATGATTGACTACCTTGTACTCCATTCGGCATGTTTCTTTTCAGTTTGTTCACTTCCCTAGAGTAGGTAAAGCCATTGGATCTATACAATTTGCAGCAATATTTTGAAATAAGTGACTGATTTTTAGAAACACTTGGTACACTTGGGATGATGAGAAGCTCAAAGAATACCCATCTGATACTTAAATGCTTGAGTCTTACCTTTTATGAAACCTTGAAGTTAATGGTGTTTTATCATTAAAATTATACATGCTTGCTATAGTCGATATGGTAATTATAAAATCTTTAAAATATGACATAAGTATATATATGAAGGATAAATGATCACCCATTGCCTCACTACCCCAATTCTACTAACATTTTAGGGTTGTGTGTTTCTTCTTCTATCTTTTCTACCTACTTATTTTTCCAGAATTGTAGTTGTAGATTTGCAGTTTGTTTTTTCACTTAGGTCAGGAATCCTGGGAGCAGACAGGCTCCAGGCAGCAGGCAGCATTCTTTATTATGGCAACATCATATTCTACTGAGAAGTTATAATTTCCCTATTTGTTCTCCTTTTCCTGGGCACTTAGATTGAGCACAATATTCGGCATATAAATGATACAGTATACTTCTTGATACATATGACGACTGGGCTTGAATTCTCTTCTCAGCACAGATTGCCATCATGAATTTACAGGGTCTTGATATACGTTGTCCAATTACTGTCCAAAAATGTAACGTTTACACTCTGGGACAGCTGAAGTTCTGTATCTCAAGTATCACTTTACCCCTCTTCTAGTAAGAGTACCTGCCTTGTTTTGATTTACTTCACCTGATGATGTGATGGGCGGGGAGGTGTAGGGAGTGTTATCAAGCAGTAGCATGTCTTCCTAAGTCTTAGCAATTGATGTAATGGGGACACGTGACCCAAGGTAGGCCAATCAGACCTCTCTTGAGTTTTTACACACAGAGAGTTGAGATATTCTCTCCTTTGGGATTTCTAAGCTGTGTTGATATAATTCAGAGGTGTCTGCTGCCAGGATTCCTGACTTATGGAAGAAACTCTGCCATTGGAGAAAAGGAGGACAATGCAAAGAGATGCTGAGATGAGACACTGTGGGTTGGGCTGGAAGGTATGAAGGAAAAGGAAAAGAAGATTAGAGGATAAGAGGAATGAGGAGAAGGGAGAAGGGGATGGGGAATGAAGTAGAACAGAGGAGAGAGTTGAGTTTCTCAGCTCAGTTATTCCTGAGGTGAATGGCATCCATATTCTCTCCAGCTACATGAGCCAATAAATCCTTTGATATGGTTAAGTGAGTTTGATTAGGATTTCTGTGGCTTATTTCTGAAAGAGTCCTAATATATGGCCCCACTTTTTTCTATAGTTCCAGTTTAAATTAAAAATCTAGAGTGTAAATTTCTTATTCTACTTTGCACTGATACCAAGAGTCAGTCATAATTAGCCTCAGTATTAAGTACTATGCACAACTATGCTTAAACTAAAAGTGCTAAATTGGTTAGCATTTGAATCAAGATTAGTGGCAACAGAAGTTAATACATTTTAAATTGATACATGAGGTGTTAAATGAGTATTAAAAGTTTATAGGACATTTATTCTTCACCCTAAATTTAATGATAGGTTTGTAATTTTTCTCTCTCTCCATCCCTCTCTAAACTGCCAATTCTTAGTTAGAAAAATTCCAGAAAAAGATTAATTACTTGCTATCAGTGAATTCATGATTTGTTCATAAAAAATAAAATCTTATATTTATTTCCTTCAAGAGTATCCAACATATTTCTTAGCTTTTTGTAATGCTTGGAGTCTATCTGAGACCATATTTAAGTGTACCTTATTTTCTTTCCAGGTGTCTTGAGATGCTCCCAAGGTCGGCTGGTTGACACATGCCATTGATGTGAGCAATTCTTGTAAGTCTTTCACCATAAAGTAGATGTGAGAAGATCTCTGGGGAAAAAGTGGGGGAAGGGCTTGGTTAAAATTGTTGGATTCTCAAATCCTTTAAAGTGCTAATTTGCACAGTCAATCCTCCAGAGGGGACTGCCAAAAATAGTGTGCGCCAAATGTTTTTTAACCATGGGGCCCCTTTTTCATTTAACATTTCATCCACTATGTGTTGGTCGTGGACATACAGCAGGAAACAAGAAGTTTCTTTGCTCTCACAGAATTTGTGGGACCTACAAGTCATTTGCCCTGCTGGAACCTGAGTACAAATGAGGGCACACAGATCATATGCCTAAATATTGAAAAGTTATACATGCAGCTAACGAATTGTTAAAATGTTCTTTCCTTGACTGGTCAATCTGCAAGATGGCCTGGAAGGTCAGGCTTTCATTTAGAATTTTTGGATTCCTTGGCGTTTTTGTCCTGATGGCAAAGCGAAAGCTTGTTCCTAGCTCTCTGCACATATATGGGAGAGCACTGTACCTTCCTCTCAGTTTTGCTGTAAACCTAAGACTGCTCTAAAAAAAGTCTTAACATTTTAAGTGGAATCTAATTTAAAGAATAAAACAGTGGAAGGATACACATAAATCTAATAAAAATGGGCCTGGGTAATAAGGAAAACAGAGGTATGAATGAAAGCTAGACTTCACAATGTATATGTACTACAGTAGATTTAAAAAAATTTATATGACTAAATGTATTACCAATTCATAACAAAATAATTAAAATAAGAACTATGTAGTCTGATTATTTTTTGGTAAACACACACAGATAAAATATAGCACACGTAACAAAATATTAATGATATATCTGTTTGTGATTTTTTTTTGTTCATTTATTTATTTGTGATTTTTATTCCCTTTGTTTACTTATTTGTATTTTGTGACTTTTCTACAACACATATGATCTGTGTAATTTTTAATGGCTTTAAAAGTTATCATCTGCTTTCCCAAATTAATGGAGAATCATTTAGGTCAGCGGTTCTCAACCTTTCACAGGGGTCGCCTAAGACCATCGAAAAACACATATTTTTGATGTTCTTAGGAACCAAGACATCGCTCCTCTATCGGTCTCCAGGCCCACATGCAGATATGCCCACATAGGAGTACCCAGCGATCCCTGTGAAAGGGTCGTTCAACCTCCAAAGGGGTCACGACCCGCGGGCTGAGAACTGCTGATTTAGGTAGTATTTCAATAAGCACTTGCAGCAACATCAGGAATGCCTGTAAGTCCCTGGTCCCCAAAGTACATTTTCTCTACATGTTCTGCTGAAGCAAACCATGAATGAACAGTACTCGCTGCTTACTTTAAAAGAGCAAACTGCTTAAATTATCTGCAAACTACCAAACGCATTTTTTAACTTGACATCAATCCATTTACTTTCTTCCCGTGAAACCAATTTTACTACTTAATATCTAGTTAATGAATCAAAGTTACATGATATGTCCATTCATATGAATTTTTGTGTTGAAAGAGAAATAGAAATATTTCATAGAGTTTGCTAGAATGTTTTTTATTGATAGCCTCGTCTTTACTGCTTAAAAGCTCATTTGAATTCTCTTCCAATACATGTCCACACATAAAGATGAAAAGTGTAAAACTATTTTATTAGAAATATTGATTTTAAATTTAAAACTGTTGAGAATAAATTGCTTGTTTAAGAAAAGCCAGAGGGGAAACGGTGAATGCGGGTGTTCTGCGTAAATAAGCACTGTTAGGGCATGCCATGTTCCTTTCCTCATAGTTTCTGTGAGGATATGTTGTGCAATCCAGTGTCATTCGTGCCTCTGTGCCTCAGCTGCAAAGAATAAAGAACTCTGTGACATCATTGATGTCACTGCTGATGTCTATCAACACCTTAAATTCATGGCACATACATAACACCTGCACATTCACTGTNCCCCCCGCCTCACCCACTAAACGTGCTGGCAAATAAACATTGTTTTGGAGTAAGATCACAAGACACTTTCAGAAAATATCTGCAACATAGTCTAAGGAGAACAAAGGGAACGTTTAATCAGGTCCAATCAGCAATGATCCAGCCAGTCAATATCCTTCATCAAACTGTTCTTGCCCCCAGCAGGTGGTCAGTCAGCGGGCAAGAAGGATTCCGCCATCAAGTATTCAAAGAATCCTGGTCAGAGGGTGATCTATGCTCTCCCTAGTACACACTTCAATAAAGAGATAAACACTTGTCTCCAAAAGACTTCCTAGGACTCCACGCAATGTGGGCAGGAGGATGCTGAAAAACTATAGCCTCCTTTAAAAGAAAAACAAGTCGTGCTGTGCAGGGTTCTAAGTGTAAGCATGGTGAATGCAATTGATCCGGAAGTTTTCAGCAACTATTACCGATAAATACATTAATTTCCTTGTTAGGTATGCCACATATGTATATATTACTAATAACAGAAGCCAATATCTCAAAACATTTCTTTTTTCATTTCGTGTGTGGGGCTAAGGCTATTGGAAGGCTGACTAGTTTCGGTTGTTATCCTAAATGTTTGCAGAATCAGCAATGAGGTCACATTGAATGGACATAACATCTGATCTCAGAACATTTTCATGACCCCCCCAAAAGAAACCCCACACCAGCTAGCAGTTGCTAAGCACCCCCAGTCCTGGGCAAAAAAAACGAATACACTCTTTGAGTTCTTTATATGTTAATTGTCTTTATTGTAAAGATAAGAAAACGGAGGCACAGGGAGATTAAATAACTTGCCTAAAGTCACACAACTAGTACAATAAGTGGCAGGGCCAGGACATGAAGGCCGGTCGTCTGGCTCCAGAGTCCATGCTATTTACCTTTTCAGCTATTCTGTCTCTCATAACACTTTTCATCCTATCTGTGTTTTAGTGTAATGCAGTTATAACATTATCTGTCAAAAATAGTGATATTAAACTTTAGGATTTGGTTTTGGGAAATACTTATGCTGAGAAGTCATGATGTTAAATGTTTTAAAATGTATTGCTCAAGCAATAATTTTATCAAAGAAAGGGAACAAAATAAAAAATGTTTGCCCATATTCTATCACATAAGTTGTTGACCTATACTATTAATAATATAACCTGAAATCAAATTCATGTATTGATTACCAGAAACTGGTACAAAATCTTAATGTCTTTAGAGGTAAGAATGGTGTTTGATGTGCTTCACATATCTAGCACATTGCTTGGCATAAAAGATGCTCAGTAACTCAATTTTAAATATCTGAACATTATCAAATTTATTAGATTTATGTAAAATTAATTATATATAAATATGCTTTATTTTACTGTAATCCAACAAATCTTTTCAGTTTATATTCTATTGTGACATGTTTATGATCATTATATATATATATATATATATATATATATATATTTTAAGAAAACTTAAAAAATGACTGGTTAGTAGTATACTTGAAGACTTGCAAAGTTGTCTAACAATTTAAGTTTTGAAATATCTTCTAAAATAAGGGAAAAAAACACAACTTACTGAATCATTAAATATACCTGTCAAATTTAAGTAACTGCATTTCATTTTTAGACATTTAATATACACTTGTATATTAAACATTTGTAGTATGTAAATGTTCACACAAACATGGCAATGCTTTTAGAATTAAGGGTATTACAAATTCACTGTAATTATCTGCTATTTAAAGACTTGTCGGGATTTTTTGCTTGAAGTCCTGGTGACTATCATATCCCATGACAAAACATTTGGCTGGGCAATGCTGGGCTCATGGTGAATGTTACTGACTTGATTATTCTGGTCCTATTCATGAGTAAGTGATTGCTAGGAAGAAATTAGACACTTAAAGTTAATATTTTTCTCTGGGAATAAAATTGTTCTTTTCTGATTGCTACTTAATAGTAATTCTAGGTTTTATACTTTAGTCCCAAATATGTGCATTTAATAACACATGTACTTTTCCACAAATCATGAATATGTGATTATACTTTTTTGATACTATTGTGCTTTACATTAAGATAAATTAACATAATTGATTTTATTTTCCTATACTCAAATTTACCGTACTTAAATTTTGAATGCTTCATCTTGGCTACTCTTCCTTAACTGTTGTTCATATTCTGTTCACTTCAAAATTGTTATCTCGAGCCTGATCTCTATTTGTGAGTTCGGGACTTTGATTTCTAAGTTCCTCTTTGACTTCTCCTGTAGGAGGTTTAATAAGCATCTGAAACTTGTGTCTAAAACAGAATTCTTTATTTCACCCTCAAATAGTGATCTTCCTCTAGCCTTTCCCATCTTAGTAAATGGTACTACCAATCATCTGTTCAAGAAAAAACTCTAGGATCCATTCGGATTTTCCCCTTGCTCTCACCATCTCATCCAGTTTCATCAGCAAATTTTGCAGATTGTGCCTTAGAAATATATTTCAAACCATTTGCTTCTGTCCATCTATACTGCCACCTTTTATTCTTAGTGATTCTCATCCATCTCTTGCCTGGACTACTGCAGGAGCCTCGTAACAGGTCTCCAAGGTACCACTCTTGCCCTCCTATAGTCTTTTTACACAACAGCCAAAGTTGTCTTTGAAAACATAAATAAGTTCTCATCTCTTCTATGTTTAAAAGTTTTGACTTCCCATTGGAATTTAGAATAAGATCTGAACTCTTTACTTTGGTACTGATCTGATACTTATCGGATCTGGTACCTGCCTATATCTTTAACTTCACCTGGTGCCACTCTCTCCCACTCAGTGTTGCAATGACTCCATTCTCCTTTGTGTTCCACAAACATGCCAAACTCTTTCTTACCTCAGGACCTTTGCATTGCTGTTGTCTGATGGAGTGCTTCTCCTTCTGGATTTTCACACTGCTGCATTCTTCTCATTCTGCACGTTTCAGTTCACATGTTACCTCCTCAGAGTCCTCTGATGAACCTATGTGAAATAGTCCATTCTCCATTATTATCTATCACACCTTGTTTATTTTCTTAAAGCTTTTATAACAATCCGTCTTGTTGATTTACTCACTTGTTAATACATAGCGTGTGTTCTCCATCTTGAATGTTGGCTCCGTGGATGTAGCTTTTTGTCTTGTCTGCTGTAATCGACAATATCCTCAGTGTTGCTTCAATAATGACAATTTATGACATGCAGTTTAAAAGCTAGAGTAAACCTACAGCACCTTGACCATTAGCAAAGGTGAATAAATATTTGCATTGGGAACCTTACCTTGAATGAATTAGGTCATCTTAAAAAGAAAGTAGTTTTCTACAACGTGTAAAATCGACAAAATGAAGACTTAATACCATGTATCTCTGATGGCCTCCTCTTTACTTCCTTCTTCCCCTCCCTCCCTCCCTCCTTTTTTTTTTTGACTTAAATTGAACCTGAGTATATAGTTAAGTGGCAGATTTAGAATCAGAATCTCTTTGAGCTGGAAAAAATGAAAAATATCATGTAATTCATTTTACTGATTAAGCAACAGAGGTTTAAAATGAGGGACTTTTTTTCTCCTAGGTCATGGAAGGAAAAGACCAGGAATTATTTTGACATTATTATTATTTTTTTATTTTATTATTTTTTAGCTGAGCCATCCTGCCACCTGTTGGCAGCTCAGCAGCAGCTCAGCTCAGGCTGGATTTGAACCGCTGTTGCTCAGAGCTCAAACCCTTGAGCGAGCTCTTAACCAACTGAGACACTCGGCCAGCCCATATTATATATTCTTTTTATTATGTCAATAATATATGTTCACTGGAAAATATAGAAAAAGTGAAATTTAAATCACCTGGAATTCCACCTTTTGGAAATAACTGTTAATGTTTTGTGGTATGTCTTTCAGGAATGGCTCCTAGACACATTCACTAATATAAATAAGCCAGTACAAACCTCTGTGTACTTGTATATGTGTGTGTCTGTCTATCATCTATCTATCTATCTATCATCTATCTTTCTCTTCTATCAATGTATCTACATATCTATTCATTCTAAATAACTATCCTCTTCCCTCAGTTAATAGTATTATAATATTCTTCTTTTCTGCCATTAAATATACAGCTAAATCCAGGAGTGATATTCACAATATTTAATGATTACTACTTCACAGGTACCATGCAATGAGAAAGGACAGGCTGTGACCTGGGGTTTACTGCTGCGACAGGCACCTGGTCCTTTAATTGCTTGATCTGGGGCTGTGTTTGTCCCAGCGGAGAGACTAGGAGAGTCTCCAGGCACTGGGCAGAAGGTGGGGGCCCAAGGCAGTACTACAGAGCTACAGCCAAATACTAGTATTTTAATAGTTAGTTTATATTTTTGAACAGGCAAGCCAAATTCCCACTCTATAGTCATCATTTTTAGTTACTGCATTTTATTCCATAGTGGTGTAGGTAGAATTATGGCCCCCAAATTATGGTCCCACCTTAATCTCAGGAACCTGTAAATATGAAGAGATGTCACGCCCATGATTGTATTAACGTTATACGGCAGAGTTGACCTTAAGACAGGGGAATTATCTGGGGGAGACTAATCTAATCACATGAGCCCTTAAAAGCAGAGTCTTATTATTTTTTTTTCTGGCTGTTGCAGAGGGAAAATTAGAGAGCTCTGAAATTAGAAGGACTCCATGTGCCATTGTTGTTTCCAGTTTGGAGGGGACAATGAGGAGGAATGTTGGCGGCCTCGAGTTGCTGAAGGGGGCTCTGGTGGACAGCCAGCAAGGGACCAGACACCTCAGTCCTATAGCTGCAAGAAACAACTCTGCCAACAGCCTAAATCAGCTTGGATGCAGATTCTATCTCAGATCCCTCAGATAAAGAGCCCGGTTCAGCAGATACATTGATTTCCGCCCGGTGAGACCCTAACCAGAAAACCGGCCAAGCCTGGACTTGGACCTACAGAACTGTGAGCTAATAGATGAGTATTGCTTTAAGCTGCTAAATTTGTAGTAATTTGTTATAGCAGTAATAAAAAGCTAATATACCTAGTATGAAGGTACTATAAATTATTTGCCAATTATCTATTATTGGGTATTTAGGTTGAATCTAAGTTTTGATTGTTCTTACGTTAGCATGAGAAAGAAACTTCAATAAATAGATTTGTACCTTCATCATTTTACACTTGTCTAATTATTCCTGAGATAAATTCTTAGAAATGAAATTGTGGGGTCAAAGAGTTTTTAATGGCTTTTGCTGTATACTGTCACATCACTCAGAATATTTTTTCCTTCTTCTTACAATTTACAATTTACATTTCCTGTTTTACCCACCATTGTAACGCTGGTTATTTTTTAGTTTTAATTTTTCATCATATGATATGCAAAATACTAGTATTACATTGTTTTAATTTACATTTCTTTGACCACTAATAGATGCAGAACATATTTAAAAGTTTAGGGGTTGTAAGTGGTGATAAGCTTATTGTTCTCTGATGCCAAATTTATTCAACTTGGTAAATTCTACATTGTCCAAGTAAATAACTAATGAAAATGTTTTAAAAAAAATATTGAAGTAATTCATATGTATATATATATATATATATATATATTTCTATTCAAACTTTTCAAGACAATAAGTTATAATCACTTGCAAATTATGTATGATGCTATGAAGAACTGTTATTTCTTGCAGAGCTTGAAAAGCTAGATAAAAAAGCAAGTTTGTAAAGAAAAGTTTCAGTGAAGTATTAATTAAACCTATAGCATTTAAATTTTTCTCTTTTTTAAATTTTTTGTCAATTCAGAAAACTTTTTAAAAAATCCAATAATAATTACATGACTATATTACTCTCCAGGGTATACTTTATAATTTCTATGGTATGTATATGTGTTGGGTGGGGAGATAAACATTAGTTAGTGATAGCAATATTATACATTCCTATAAAAACATCTTGGTAAAGTAACTTTGGGAAGAAGGTATTAAAGCTTTTCACATAATGGAAGTTATATTCATTTCTTTGTCTAAAAACTCTCTTCATTTTACCTTTAAATGAAGCTCTTGAAAGTTAACCAAATGTGTCTTCTCCATTTCGGTATACCATCATCACTGTGCAGATATGCTATCATAATCCTGTGAGAGGGCAGGAAGCCTGCTAGAAGGGAAAAAGTGGGGCGAGGGAAGAAAGGTGAAGGGTCCTTTAAAATTAGATCAGTGGATATCTACCAGGACATTTGCAGTGATACATAGAATGTGGGGCACAAAGATAGTCATACTGTAACCTAGGATACATTTTTTAAACCACTTTTAGGGAATGTAATTAGAGAGTATGAAAAACAGAAATGGCATGATATTTTTGAAATTTTTAAAAGGAGAAATGGAAAGCTAAAGTAATTATAGTACTTTATAGAATGTTGTATTTTAGGCACCACCATTTCAATAAAAAAGGAATTAGAGACCATTGTGAATACTTCTACGTTCTCAGTGAGTGGTCCTTGCTGCATTATTTATGGAAGGACATTTTATAGATAAGTACTATCATATGATGCAATTGTGATTTCCATCTGTCGTCATAAAATCTTGATTTTATTTTCAGATTTGTTTTCAGTTTCACAACTAAAAATGACTCAAATTGAAATTTAGGGAGAAACCACTAAAGAAACCACCAAATACAGATTTTGATTAAATCTATCAGAAGGCATAGCAGTGTGGTGGTTTAGCATTTGGTGTAAAATCTGGTTTCTATTCACCATTCCCTACAGGTTTATGTTTGATATGTCTAATTTCCCGAAGTGTTTTTCAAAGATGTGGGCATTTTGATTAAAAATATTCTCACAAAACTTTCCAGACATCTTTTTAAAGGACCTTAACATTAAGGAGACACTATAGCAAAAGGCCGTTGTTACAGAAAAGGCTTCAGAGGAAAAAAGTAAGTATTTGTTAATTGAATTTAAAATTACAAGGCTAGAATTGTTCTCATAAAAGGGAAGAAGTTTTCTTATGGTTAATATCACTTTTTATTTTTATTTTATTTTATTTTTTTAGCTGAGCCATCCTGCCACCTGTTGGCAGCTCAGCGGCAACTTAGCTCAGGCCAGGACTCGAACTGCTGCTGCTCAGAACTTGCACTCTTGAGCGAGCTCTTAACCAACTAAGCCACTCGGCCAGCCCCTAATATCACTTTTTAAATAGAGTGAGATGAGATGGGGTGTTTGTGATGAAAATGGTTAAGCAAACACTGTACCCCACAGTAAGAGAGTCTTTTTTGTCTTTAGTATTTTTAATTGTTAAAACACATACATACAATGTATAGTCATGTATGTGGAAAAAACTTAACCAATACAGATGTATAAAAAGTAAAATTCCCACTTCCCATTCTCTAGAGATGATCACAGTTCACATTTGAGTTTAGATCATTTAAGACCTTATTCTAGACACATGTAACTATATACATAACCACAAGTACACACAACTATAAAAATGTGACCAGGCTGAACATAATCTATAGTCACATGCTCCTCTTAAAAATGAGATTTATTGAGTTCTAATTTATATAGTAAAATTTATCAAGTATTACAGTTCAGTTACCTTTGAGAAGTGTATACAGTTGTACAACCACCACCACAATCAAGATATAGAACATTTTGATAGTCCCCACCCCCAAACTTCCCTCATATCCTTGTATTGTCACTTCCTTTCCTCTACCCCAGCTCTTGGCAGCCAATGATCTGATTTCTGTTCTGTAGTTTTGTCTTTTCTAGAATGTTCTATAAGTGGAATTTTTGTGATTGCCTCTTTCACTTAGCATAATGCTTTTGAGATTCATCTTGTTATGTTTATCAACAGTAGCTTTCAATTTATTGCTGAGTTGTATTTCATTTTATGAATATACCATGATTTATCCATTCACCAGTTGATGGACATTTGGGTTATTTCCAGTTTTTGGCTATTATGAATAAAACTGCTATAAATATTCACATACAAGTCTTTGTGTGAATATATGTTTTCATTTCTCTTGGGTAAATACCTAAGAGTGGATTGCTGGGTCATATGGTGTGTTTTTAAATTTATGAGGAACTACTAAATTGTTTCCTGAAGCAGCTGTACAGATTTGCAGCACCATTAGTGGTTTTGAGAGTTCTAGTTGCTCTACATCCTTGTCAGCCCTTGGTATTGTCAGACTGTTTATTTTTAGCCATTTTAGTAGGCACGTAAGTGATATCTCATTGTGGTTTTCATCTGTATTCTTCTAATGACTAATGGTGTTGATCTTTTCATATGCTTATTTACTATATGTGTATCTTCTCTGGTAAAATGTCTGTTCAAATCTCTTGCCTAGTTTTTTTTTTTTTATTAGTTTCAGGTATACAAAACAATGCAATAGTTATACTTTTCACCCTTCATAAAGTGACAACCTTCCTCCCCCAAACCACCGCCCTCCCACCCTTGATATCATACATACATATCATACATGTATTACAATTCCATTGACTCCACTCCCCATACCATACTCCACATCCCTTGACCATATATATGTGTGTATATATATATAAAATTATAGTTGACATACAATATTATTCAACATCAGCTTCAGGTGTACAGTGCAGTGGTCAAGCCTCTATACTGTCCATGAAGTGGTCTACCTAAGAAGACATGTGTCCATCTGACAAACTAAAAAATATTTACATTATTGATTATATTTCCCAAACTGTCTTTCATATCCCTGTTCCTGCTTAGTTCTTAATTGCATTCTTTGTCTTATTTTGAGCTGTCAGAGCTCTTTATATATTCTTCATACAAGTCCTTATCAGATAGGTGTTTTGCAAGTGTTTTCTTCCAGGTTGTGATTTTTCTTTAATTTTCTTCTTCAAACACTTTATTTTTTCCACTTTTATTGAGATATAATTGACATTTAACGTTGTATTAGCTTAAGGTACATAACATAATGATTTGGTATATATATATTGTGAAATGATTATCACAATAAGTTTAGTTAACACTCATCACTTGCATAGTTACAATTTTTTCCCATTCTGATGAGAACATTTAAGATCTACTCAAGTAGAAACCTTCAAATATACAACACAGTATTGTTAACTATAGTCGACATGCTGCACATTATATCCTCAGAAATTATTTGACTTATAACTGGATGTTTGTACCTTTTGACCACCTTGATCCACTTTGCCCCCTTACCCCTGCCACGCCCTGCCTCTGGCAACCACTAATCTGTTATCCATGGTTTGGTTTTATCAAGTGAGATTATATAGTATTTGTCTTTCTTTGTGTGATTTATTTCACTTAGTACGATGCCCTCAAGGCCCATCTATATTGTCACAAACTGCAGGATCTCCTTCTTTTCATGGCTCAATAATAGTCCCATTTTCTTGGTCAACCCTTCAGTGGACACTAAGGTTGCTTCTACATCTTAGCTATTGTAAATAATGCTGCAGTGAACATGGGGGTGCAGACATCTTTCTGAGATAGTGATTTTCTTTCTTTCAGATACATATACCCAGAAGTGGAATTGCTGGATCATATGGTAGTTCTATTTTTAATTTTTTGAGGAGCCTCCATTCTGTTTCTCTAGTGGCGGCAACAATTTACATTCTCACCCACTGTGCACAAGGGTTCCTTGTTTTCTACATCCCTGCCAACGTTTATCTCTTGTTTTTTGATAGTAGTCATTCTAAGAGGTATGAGGTGACATCTCAGTGGTTTTGAATTGCATTTCCCTGATGATTAGTGATGTTGAGCACCTTTTCAAATACCTGTTGGCCATCTGTATGTCTTTTGGCAATTTTTTTCTTCCATTCATAGGTTACCTTTTCATTTTGTCAGCTGTTTTCTTTGCTGTGCAGAAGCTTTTTAGACTGATGTAGTCCCACTTATTTATTTTGCTTTTGTTGTCAAATCCAACAACAACAACAAATCATCACTAAAAGAAATGTGAAGAAGCTTATCCCCTTTGTTTTCTTCTAGGAGTTTTATGGTTTCAGGTCTTGCATTCAATTCTTTAACCCATTTTGAGTTTATTTTTATGTATGGTATAAGTTAGTAGAGTCCAGTTTCATTCTTTTGCATGTGACGGTCCACTTTTCCCAGCACCACTTATTGAAGAGACAGACTATCCTTTCTCCACTGTATATTCTTGGCTCCTTTGTCATAAACTCATTGGCCATATATGCCTGGGCTTATTTCTGGGCTCTCTATACTGTTCTATTAACCTACAAATCTGTTTTTATGCCACTACCATTCTGTTTTGATTACTAAAGCTTTGTAATATATTTTGAAATCAGGAAGTGTGATGCCTCCAGCTGTGTTCTTCCTCAAAATTGCTTTGGCTTTGGGGTCTTTTGTAGTTCCATATAAATTTTAGGATTGATTGTTCTATTTCTTTGACAAATGGAAAATTGGAAGTTTGATAGAGATTGCATTGAATCTGTAAGTTGCTTTGGGTAGTATGGTAATTTTAACAGTATTATTCTTTCAGTCCATGAACATGGAATAATTTTCCATTTATTTGTGTCTTCTTCAATTTCTTTCATCAATGTCTTATAGTTTTTAGTGTGCAGGTCTATCGCCTCCTTGATTAAATTTATTCCTAGATATTTTTATTCTTTTTGATGCAATTGTAAATAGAATTGTTTTCTTAGATTATCTTTCTGATAGTTATTAGTGTATAGAAACACAACTGACTTTTGTATAATGATTTTGTATTTTGCAACTTTACTGAATTTGTTTACTCTAATCGCTTTTTGGCAGAGTCTTTAGGGTTTTCTAAATATGTCATGTCATCTGCAAATAGAAACAGTTTGCCTTCTTCCTTTTTAATTTGGATGCTTTTTATTTTTTTCCTGATTGCTCTGGCTGGGACTTCTAATACTATGTTGAATAAGAGTGGCAAGAGTAGGCATCCTTATCTTGTTTTTGATCTGAGAGGAAAAGATTTCAGCTTTCACCACTGAGTATGATGTTAGCTGTAGGCTTGTCATATATGGTGTCTGTTATGTTGAGGCTTGTGTCCTCTATACCCAGTTTGTTGAAAGTTTTTATTATGAATGGATGTTGATTTTTGTCAGATGCCTTTTCTGCATCCATTGAGATAATCATATCATTTTTATCTTTCATTTTGTTAACGTGGTGTATCACATTGTTAGATTTGCAGATGTTGAACCATCCTTGTATCCCTAGAATAAATCCCACTTGATCATGGTGAATGAATGATCCTTTTAATGTATTGTTGAATTCAGTTTGCTAATGTTTTGTTGACAATTTTTGCATTTATGCTCACCAGGGATATTGGACTGTAATTTTCTTTTTTTGTGATGTCCTTTTCTGGTTTTGGTCTGAGTGCAGTGCAATGCTGGCCTCATAAAGAAATTTGGCAGTGTTCCTTCCTCTTCTATTTTTTGAGTAATTTGAGAAGGATTGGTAAAATGGGAGTAAAGTCTTTATTTTTGTCAAAGTACTTATTTATGGATTCCCCTCAACCTGCAGATCTCCAGAAATTATACACATCATCATTTCAGCTGTGTCCTCTCATTTTGTCAGACACATTAGGGAAAGAGCCTAAGACAAGGATTTTCTTAATTTTTGTAAATTGACATGGATAAGTTATATCATATGCCATCAGCTAAAAGTATCACAAAATAGACCTTTATACAGTACAATGCTGTGATATAATAAGAAATATATATTTGGTCTTTGTCCCTGGCACCTGGCAGAGTTCCTAATGGGATATAATCAATTAACATTTAGTTTTTGCCCCTGGCTCCTGAAACAGCTCCAGAATGATAAAGGAGAAAGAAGCCTAAAGTGTTATGATACTTCCCCCCAACCCCACCCCCCATTCCTGAAACAGCTCTGGAGTAATAAAGGTGGAAAGCAGCATCTTTTGTTAGTCACAGTAAGTTCTTTTCAGCCACATTTAAGGTAATGTTACTGATGTGACGTTTGGAAAGCCCCTAAAAATGGGGTGGGGGGTTGCTAGGGGAACTATGTGATTAGAGGAGCAGAACTTTCAGCCCCATCCACTGACCTCTGGGGAGGAAAAAGAGGTTGTAGGTTGAGTTAATTGCTAATGGGCAAAGATGTAATCAATGGTGTCTAGGTAATGACACCTCCATTAAAAAAAACCTATCTGAAAGGATTCAGAGAGCTTTTGGGCTGGCGACACACCTGGGGATAAAATGGAAGTTCTGTGCTTCTCCTCCCATCCCTTACCTGATGCATCTCTTCCATTTCGTTGTTCATTTATGTCTTTTATTATATCCTTTATAACAAACTGGGAAATGTAAATACGTGTGTCTCTGAGTTCTGTGAGCCTTTTACAGCGAATTATTGGACCTGAGGAGGGAATCCCTGATTTGTAGCCAAGTCAGTCCGAAGTACAAATGACAACTTGGGACTTGCCTTTGGCATCTGAAGTGGGGACAGTTTTGTGGAACTAACTGATCCTTTAATCTGTGGGGTCTGTGCTAACTTCTGGCAGTTAGTATCAGAAATAAGTTAAATTATAAGGCACCCAGTCAGTGTCTGCCAAGAATTGGAGAATTGCTTGGTATGGAAAAACTCACACATGTGGCACCAGAAGTGGTGTGAATAGAGAAAATAGAGTTTTCTTTTACGTAGGTAAAACAAGCTGTTTTGACCAGTACTTATCAATATGATAGCCATTATTGCTTATAATCTTTTTATCTGTGTGGAAAAGTTTCCCTGAAATTTTAATAAATATTTTCCCACATTTATTCAGCATAGATTTCCTTAAGTTTATATTTTTCTCACTTGACATCACCAAATTTTGATTCTATGATAGCACTATTTCTTGTGGAATAGTGGATGAGAGGAAAAATTTTAGTTTATTTTATGGATAACTTAATATTCAATCATTTGTGATGTATTTTATTTTCATGGATTTAGGTGTTTTGGACTAAATTTATAGTAGTATATTGAAATACAAAATCCAATGAAAAGATCATTATAGTTTTATTATAACTGTATTATTGGTAACACACTCCTATTACAGGTATCAAAGATGACAGTGACATGATAAATTTCTTCTTGCATTGCTGCTGAGTCAAAAGCTGGCTTACGTCTCATTGTTTTGGATTATCTGGAAGTCTGAAATAAAATATGTTATAAAATTAAATTTTATATTGGGCTAGAAAGTAAAAGACACTTGCTTTGAAAGATATTTTGTTTTCTGTAATTTTCAGACAGACGAGTAGTTGAAAAGATTAAAAATACTTATCCTTATTTGATATTTAAAAGTAAATCTGTGATTTTTTAAAAGACAATGTTTCAGTATTAGCTTATCAAGCACTGGATGAAATTATTCCTGTGTTTGGAGAATTAGATTATACTTAGCATCGTGTACCATGTGGGGACTTAATAGAAACTTTTTAGTTGATTTATCATACCCATTGCGTTCTTCCAAGTGCTCTGAGGCTTCATATAAACTTGCCAGTGTGGCGCTTCTTGACTCTCCTAAAGAAAAAAAAATGTACAAATGTAATGATTTATCACAAATATAGCTTATAGTTATTTTGAGCTTGTACTTGGTCAAAGATGGCCACAACGATACCCCCTACTCTACATGTTACTCAACAGTGTGACCCTGCTGCTCCCCCATCAAGAGGTGCAATCTAATCTCCCTCCTCTGAAAATCAGGCTTGGCTTAGGACTCTTTTGTAATCAATAGAATGTGGAGGAAGGGACTGCCTGTCTTCCGAGGCTAGGTCCAAAAAGGCTGTGCAGCTTGCCACCCATGACGCTTAGGATGCCTACTTTGGCAGAAGCCAGTCACCATAGAAGCAGCCCTATCGCTTTGAGATTGTCTGGACAGACCATGTATGGATTTCCCACTTCACAGTCCCAGCTGAGCCCAGCCTTCCAGCCATCCTACCAAGGCTCCAGTCTGTGAGAGAGGCTGTCTTGGACTTTTCAGCTGAGTACCACCATTGGGTGACCTAAATTGATGTCTAGCCAAGCCATGCTCCAATTCTTAATCCACACAATTCTCATGATATATAAAATCACAACTGGATCGGCCACTTTTGGGGGATAAGATGACTTGTTAAAGCAACACTCAGAACGGAAATTAATGTAGAGAGCAATATAAAGTATCTATATAATGAAATCAGATAGGGGAAGTTTCTACATACAGACATGTTAATTTGTTACTTAACTTTCATATTCTACTTTTGACTTGAAGCCACTGGGATTAATCTAATAAGCTGCTCTTTATCCTTGCTTATGACAGGGCTGTTTCCAGGCCCCCCTGCATTTTCTGTATTCTGTGCATTTCCTATTTTGTCCCTATCGCTCATCCACCACAATTCCTGAAACATTTCCCCTGTATTCTCACCCTATTTTCTGAAATTCCTTTTACTTTCTTGCTCTAACAGAACCGCGGCCATTTTCTGAGGACACTGCCAGTCCAGAAGCCCTTTTGTTTTCGTTTTCCTCAGTCGTCTTACCATTGAACCTGGAGATGGATAGGTGTCCTCCTTATGCTCTATTGTTCTCTTTCAGGACATTCACTCTCCCTCCTTCTCTTCCTAAAACTCACATAATCAGTTATACAATCAGGTGTTGTTGTGATGTATCTACAATTGGGATCATTCTCCGTAGATTTGATTACTACCACTTTCTTAATTTAGCAATTTCAATGTACATGTGGAAGATTCTTCCACCCTGAGTCTCAATTCCTTGAGCTCCATTCCTTTAGATCTTGCCCTTCACGCGGCTACAGCCATTCATTCCCATGGTTGTGCTTAGACACTGTCATTACCAATACCTGCAAGCACCCCTCAAACTCAGCCTCCTTCACTCAGCGTCCTGAGTGCCAGCTTTTATCTTTCGGGTCACTCCCTCTGGCACTCCAACCCCAGGAATTCATCAAGTTGGGAGCTCCTATCCTATCACTTTTTCATCATCGCTCTCCATTTTGATGTCTTCTATCCCTTCTTTATACATTTAAATTCCATGGTCATTCACTCCCTTGCATATAGCTTGACTTCCTTACCATTTTTTCCCACTTTGTCGTACTCACTTGACAAAACTATAACCCTGGGTAAATACAACTCTGCCTATTCTTACGCCTTGTACAGCTCAGCGTGGCTGGATGCAAACATACAACTGAGCCCCACTTTAAATTTATGGCCACAGACATTAGGTGGACCTTGAATGTTTTCAGGCAACCCTATTAAACATTGCTAGTCCGTCCTTTCTCCCATTCTCCTAGATGTCTATTTAACTCACCTGCTTTCTCAAACCCTCCATATCAATCATCATTATCAGGTGCTGTTTTATTTTTTAGTTTCATAGAGGAAATAAAAGGCAGTAGGAAGAAACTTCCACAGACTGTGTCAAGAGTTACTCACCTATGCCCAATCTTCCAATCCAAGGCCAACAGCTCTGCTCCTTCACCAGGTCTCATCCTTTCTTGCCCACAACACAAGACATGGCCCCAGCAATTCCTTCTGCCTCCCACTTATCAGCTATTTATTTATATTTTCACTCTTCACTGTATCTTCTCCATCAGCATGTAAATATTTAGTTGAATTCACAAGACTAAGTTCTCACCAAGGAATGTGGACAGAGTGAAACATACTGCTTTTGGGTCTTAGTGTTAGACACTGGGCTTTCATTTTTCCTTAAACTTTCCCTTTTCCTCAATCTTGAATATTGAACTATTACCTTAGGATTCAGTTTCTACCATGCAGATAATGAAAACACCCTAACTTAGTGGTTCTCAACTGGGGATGATTTTTCCCCACAGGAAACATTTGAAAATGTCTGGAGACATTTTTGGTTGTTACAACTAGTGGGTAGAAGCCAGGGATGCTGCTAAATTTCCTACAATGCTCATGGCAGCCATTCCTCTATCTCCTCCATAACAAAAACGTCATCCAGCCAAAATTTCAATGGTGCAAGATTGAGGAATCCTGCCCTAGGAGATGATGGGGCAACAAAATGGAAAGTCATGCCCTCTGTGGGGCTACCTCATAAATGTACATGGCTCACTTCAGGGTTAGGAAATAAATAAATATATTCTTAAGTTCCTATACTTTCTGGACTCTTTGTAATAGGAGTTCAGCTGTTAACTAACGTGTTCTATCATTCTTTAACTATCTTGGGTTTCTCAGCTTAATATTTTTCATGGCATCACAATATGTAGAACCATGCCTATTTTAATGCCTATTTTATTCTATCTAATGTTTTAAATTCAGCATTCCTTTTGGTTTGTCAGGATGTAATGATATCTCTTAAGCTGGAGAAATCCTTCTTGGATTTCCTAAATTTGAAATGATACCTGGGTGGTCTCAAATAATTTTTTAGCATTCTTCCCCCAGATGTTGACAAACAGTGAATTTTATTGTGGGCTATTTCCCAAGTAGATTCTCTGAGAAGAATAGTTATATCTGTAGCTATTCTTTTTCATCTTAGGCCACAATGGCTAGTTTAAATAAAAGACATTTGCATTCTCTCTGTGCTAGGAAACCTTAGCAATGATTTATTTACATAGGGGAACACTTGAACTCATCATTTAGGTGTTCTGACATGTCTATCTATTTGCAACAAGGTGAGCACCATCTTTGCAAAAGCACTTATTTTGATTCCTAACCCAGGTTTTCTGCTGTGAGTCTGAGGGTGTGATTTGAGATTTTTGATCTGTAGGACTTCAAGGAAGCTGGAAGATTAGGGCGAATTTCATCCAAGGAAGACCAGAACCAACACAAAGTTGAGAGTGTGACATTTGCTTATACCATCTACCATATCAGTAGAAACAGGCACTTCCTTGTTGCTAATAGTGAAGACTCTCAAAATGGTAGATTCCCTCAAGTGGGCAACAAAAGGATCTCATTTATACCACCACTTAGACTATATTGTATCAAAGAACAACAGAATACATCAGCAAGTGATGAATTGCAATAAACCAACCATCCCATCCCTTTACTTGGAAACAATAGCATATAATTCTCAAGTAAAACAGTATTATTGGGTTGTCAGAAAAGTCATGATGCATGTTTGCAACAGATGGCACTATTTCATTTTTGGAAGCACTAGAGTAATTCGCATCTATGTTATTGTTATGTCATTTGACAGCTGATAGTTCTAGCTTCATTATAAAAAAAATTGAGCGATTTGGTTGAGTTTGGGAGATTTTACAATAAGTTGAAGATGGAAGACCAAACTGTGCATTTTTGCCATATTTTACTCTTGTACTTCCATAAAGGGAAGAACATGTGTCAAGCTTATGAAAAGTTGCATAAAGCTTATGGTGACAATGCTCTATAAGAACGTCAGTGCCAATGATGGTTCACGAAATTCCGTGCTGGTGATTTTGATCTCAATGACGCTCCTCGGTCAGGGAGGCCCACCAAGGTTGATGACGACAAAATAAAGGCATTGATCGAGTCAAACCCACGTTACACAACACGAGAGATTGCAGAAACATTGAACATCCATCATTCAAGCATTCACGACCACCTGAAAAAGCTGGGATATGTAAGCAAGCTCGATATTTGGGTTCTGCATGAAGTCAAAGTTCATTTGACAGTGCATATAAACATCTGCAATATGCTCATTAAACATGAGGAAAACAATCCTTTTTTGAAGCAACTGATAACTGGTGATGAGAAGTGGATTGTTTACAACCATGTGGTGCACAAAAAGTCTTGGTCCCGAGGTGATGATTCGCCTCAAATGACATCGAAAGCAGACATTCATCAGAGGAAGATTATGCTCTTAGTGTGGTGGGATTTTAAAGGTGTCATGTTTTTCGTATTCCTACCAAGGAACAAATAATCAACTCGAATGTGTACTGTCAGTAGTTGGACAGTTTGAACAAATCCATCATCCAGAAACGTCCAGAGCATGTTAATTGTAAAGGAGTTGTGTTCCAACGTGACAACATGAGACCACACACAAGTTTGATCACCTGTCAAAAATTATTGGCGCTTGGATGGGACGTGTTGCCACACCCACCATACTCCCCTGACCTTGTGCCTTCAGACTTCCACTTGTTTCGCCCTCTTCAAAACTCCTTGTGTGGTATAATGTTCAGTTCAGATGAGGCTGTAAATCAGCACCTTGTTGTTTTTCACAAATAAAGACAGGTCCTTCTATGAACGAAGAATTATAAAGCTCACTGAAAGATGGCAAAAGGTAATTGAACAAAACGGGCAATATATCATTGATTGATCTTTGTTCTTTATATAAATAAATGATCTTTAAATAACATAGACAAAGTACATCATGACTTTTCCGACAACCCAATATATAAAAATGAGATTAAAAAAAATGTTATCTGTAGAGGAGTACAAGTTGAAATAGAAGAGACACTACCTGGTACTTTTGTAACTGAAAAGGTGAATTTTTATACTTTTGCCATGCAAAACATTTTTAGTGGCCTTATTCTAGAAAAGGGTAAATAATAACTCATATAAAAAGGTTGTGTCAGAGTTTATAGACTGAGACCT